GCCAAATAATTGACAAGTGACACAAAATGAGCCCACAAAAAATCAAGCTTCATTCTCTTTCAAACCTTTAAATTTTAAAAGAATTCATATGTCATTTAATATTTTTAAAGACTTGATTTTAAAAATCATGATTGTGACTAATTATTTTTTTATATTATTTTATAAGATATTTTTTTGAAATAAAGTTTTGAACGAATTACTTTTTCTTATATGATTGTTATTTCTGAGTTAGATCTTTATTTTTAAAAGATGGGTTGTCCTATAAGAAGTCTGAGATGGGGTTAATAGGATCATTTGTTCTACCATTTTTTGTATTTCAATGATATTAATTCATTTTTTTACTAATTTTTAATTCAATTACAAGAAAAAATTATTATTGTCTAGCATTAATTAAAAAAAACTTTGTTTTCACCTTTTTAGTGCTTTTTATCTCAATAAGTAACTCTCAGAAAAAAATGTAATTTGTTTGATGTTTGTACTGATGTTATTTTATGCACGATGTTCTATTTTATTTTCTTCTATTTTCTCTTTTTTGTGATGTTAAAAGGGGGATCGAGTTGTTATTATTATTAGTGTTATATTGTTTGCTTATTTTAGTAAATTTTGTATTGCATTATTTAATTGGTCTTCTTTTTTTATGTTTCGTTTTCTTTTCTTTTAATCTATTTGATTTAAAATCGTCTAATAAATATTTATCATCATAAAAAAGGAGGAGATTATTGTAAATCTGGATTCAGGGATTATAATTTTGATGATAACAAATATTATTGGCATTCCTATTTTTTATTATTATTACTACTACATATTTATTTTGATTGTCATGCCTACTAACTTTTTAGATCCACAAACTCAATTATAAATCAAGCTAGTTTAAGATTAAGTATATTAGAACTTAGTCAATATATAATTATTCCAATGATTTTTACTTTTTCTTGAGTCAATTTAATAAGATGCATCATGATGCTAAGTAACGTTACACACACATACTCAGGGGTAAAAATTCTATAAGTTTAAGAGTTTTTATATTTTTGATCATATTGTACAGGACGATCCTAAATCGTCTTGGATGATCAGTCAAAAAATAAAAACCTTAATTAGGGCATCTATGTTAAGCCAGTCGGATTAAGAAAATCGTCCTGTATGATATTCACATCTTTATGGACGATAGACTCAAATCAGAAAGACTCTGCCGCTAAACTCCTTTATGATGTATGATATTATTTTTAGAAATAATACATGACAATACCATATCATCCTAGATGATTCATTACAATTATGGCTAAATTAGTCAGGTGATTAAGAAAAGTAATTAATGTTAGATTGATCGATCATATCGTCCTAGATGATCGAAGGATCATCCTAGAAGATTGAAGGATCATTCTGGATGATTACTTACAAATCTTAAAATTCTCCTAAATCAGCTGGACGACCGTAACTATCTACTAGATGATCAGTTATAATTTTTCATTATCCATATGTTTCTATTGGATGACCAGAACTATATGTTGGATGATAATCACTAATTTTGAACTAATCGTACATGACAATCCAAGCATCATCATGGACGATTAGTTATGTTTCCTCATCGTCCAACATGGATCTTATGGACGACCAGAATTATGTGTAGGATGATATGTATGATTTTGAACTAATTGTATCGGATGATGTCTGCATCATCCAGGATGATCAGAATAAATAATGTGTTCTAATCATCCAACACACCTAAATCGTCTTAGCTGGAAGGGCTGAAATACACTAATCGTATAGAACGATCTTTGACGGCATGTTGTAAATCAGAGCAATTTTTAAGGCCTTCTTTATAAGATATCTTGATTATTATTGAGAGAATCTTTTGCTAAAGTCCTAACCTGAGAGAGCTTAGAAAAAGGGAGAGTTAGTTTGGGGGGGGGGGGGGGGGGGGGAGAGAGAGAGAGAGAGAGAGAGAGAGAGAGAGAGAGAGAGAAAAGCTTGTGAGGAGAGTTTGTAACGTGATCACAAAGGTTGCTCAAAGTAAGGATTTGAGTCATCTTCTCTATTTGTCATCCTTAGCTCCTTGATGGCTCTAGGGGGGTCTTCGTTAGCAACCGATTAATGTTCTCTGCCTGCTTCAAGAGGAAGCAAAAGGAGTTCGGATTCTCTGCCTCATCGGGTTGGTGAAAAAGAGTTTGTAAAGGCTTCTCCGCCTTGCTGTGGGAGCAAAATGAGAGTCACTATATTTTAGTGTAATACCTGGAGGAGAGGCTCCAGGGAGTGGACGTAGGTCAAGTTGATCGAACCACTATAAAAGCTGTTGTGTTCTTTCTGTGTTATTCATGCACTTTATATTTTCATATATTAATTTATGTGGTTGATTGCATTTGTTTTAAAATATTCAAAAAGGTTTAAAAAAATTTCTACTTTGTGTTTAAGAAGTTTTAAAACTACCAATTCACCCCCTCTTGGTTAGCCTCGAGTTAGTTTATAAGGGCTTAACAACACTAACGAACTTTCAGGATTGTTACGAGTGCTAAGAGGGTGTAACTTACATTGTTGTAAATGAGAGATTATTACGGGCGGAGTCTAGGGAAGAAAATGATTCGATTTCATAGCTGTGAATAATAAAAGCGCAATGGTGAACAATAATTGTGCTTTACTATTCAAAGTCGCAAAATTGAATGATTGTCTTTATCCGGACTCCGCACGTAATAATCTCTTGTTGTTGTAAATAAGGATTAATGTTGTTTCTATTATCACTGAGTAAAATTGCACGAATATTCTCAATTTTTGTTCGTTATCTATTTAAACATTTTCTTATATGAATGCTTAGAATTAAGGTTTCACTTGGGATTAATTTCTTACTGCTTCTTAAAGCAGTTTTTTAGAACAAAAAATTATTAAACTAAACAATTTTGTTCTAAAAAAATTGCTTTAAATACAGTAAGAAATTTGTTCCGAGCGAAGCCTAAATGTGAAGATGAAAAGTTCATCTATTATTCTCTTCTTTTGAAGGGACAGACCTATCTGCCTTCCTTCTTCTTTTTTCGTTGGTTCTGAGATTTTGTATTATATTTTTCTTGAGAGGAATTAATATTGTGGCTACTATTTGCCCAATTTTCCAAAAATAAAAAAAAATTAAAAAGTTTTTTTTTTATCTAAAAAGCAACTTTACAAAGGAGTAAGAAAAACGTCTCAAACGAAGCCACGATCTATTCTTAAAGAATTTAGTAGATTCAAGATTTACTCTATACAACAACACTAGAGAACATCACATCCATCATTATATGGAAATATTTTGTAGATAAAGGGGACATATGGTTATACCTTCATGAATTTTTTAATATCAAAATATTGTTATTTGATAGGATGAAAATTTCATAAATGGTGACTTTGTACAATCTATAAACTTTTTGATTGTGGGCTTAGACAATTTTCAATAATTCTTTTTTTTTTTCAGAAAAAAATTATGATTTTTTTTTTGGTGGATGCTCCAATTAATGTATAAATACTTCAAAAAAAAATATTGAATTTTTCTCAAAGAACTTTTTCTTTGTAAAAATTATGGACTAATCAATGATTTTTACAAGGCCTTGATGTTATAAGAAAAATTATTGATCTGAGATAGTCTAACTAAAAGTCTCTATGAGCCCATATCAAGAAATTAGAGTGTAATTAAAAAATTTCAAAAAATTATTTAGATGATCAAATGATCATTAAATATTACACGATTATAGTCAAATCAAGCATCTCGATGTTACATGTCACTTAATTATTATATCATTAAGGCATCTAGATACTATAATGTGTAGATATAATATAAACAATTTACTTTACAAAATTTAACAATAATAACATATGCTACACTAATTACCAAATTCACATTCAAGCTTAAGCAACAAAGTAAAATTATAATAACTAAATCCACTAACATTAGCCTCCACTAACCTAACTATTTAGCGCCCAAGTATTTTTCTATTGCAGTTGTATTACATCAAGGTTCAGCTTTAAGTAGGGGTGTCAATATTTGACACGACTCAAAAATCTAACTCGAATTTTACCCAATAATTCTAGGTTAGAGTCAACAATGACCCGAAGCGGGTCGGATTCGGGTTTAACAATTTGACCAGTTTCAAAAATTGGGTTAGGTTTGTGTTGACAATTTGACCTGAAATTGACTCGTTTTTACCCGGAAACCTAATATTGACCCGTTTTGACCCGAAAAAGCGGAGATTGACCCATTCGGGTTGACCTGGACTCAAAGAGGGTCAAGTTTGGGTCCGAAACATCGACCGATTTATAAAAGGTATTTGCTCGGTATTGCTAGAAAAAACTAGGTACAACTCGGTATTTGCTCGGTATTGCTAGGTATTTGCTCGGTATTGATTATTGGCAAGCAAAATCGACCAATACTTAGCAATACCGAGCAATACCAATCAATCTTGGATCCATTCCGGGTCGGGTTGTCGGGGCGCGCGGTAAATAATGAAAAGTTGCGTACGTTCACCGGACCAAATAAAAGTTGCCTTTTCAGGGTGGCAGCAGGTAGATTCAAAAAAAAAAGAAGTCCTAATCCTTAAATGAGAAAAATTGAAGGGGTGTTTTAAGTAGTTAAAAATTAGCATAGAATTTATCAGATAATCATGACATAAATCATTTAATATATTTTGTTTATTTATTAAATAATTTCAAAAGAGTTTTAACTTAGGATGCAATTATTTAAAAAAAAATGAAGTGGATATAATTTCAGCAGTAATTTAAAAGAAGAAAATGCATGTAAGTCTATTGGGTTGGGCCTGTTATTTGGCAAAACTATGTAGGATCTGTTGGCCCATAGGACAAGGCGGGAAAATGAAAATATTTGGCGGCTACATAGAAGTCGGTAAGCTGGCCTTCTTTATTTCTGGTATAGTATAGCTGTTTGTGTAGCTCGTGCCATTTCCTGCCGAACTATCTCGCTACACAATTAGCTATACGCCTAAAGTAATAATCATTATCAGTCCGTATGTATTTAATCGGAAACTCTCATCTTTTTAGCTTCCGGTCGGGTAATTAGGACCGGCGAATCCGATCCTTCTAACGAAAACCATCAGTTGATCTGTGATTTTCTTACCGGCGATGGCGAGGCAAAGGGATCCATCGGACGAGGAGACCTCGAGCGGCTCTCTTTCCTCCTCGGAAGCAGAAGGGACGCAGGACGGCCTGATGGCGGAGGAAGACGAGGAAGAGCTCGAAGCGGTGGCTAGGACTGCTAGCCCTGGCGACGAGGAGGATAATTCGAAGTCGACGGAGGACGACGTGGATGCGGAAAGGACCGATGATGAGGATGAGGTATGATGGAAGCGGGTTGGTTTTTCTGGCTGGGATGAAGTTGGCCTTGCTAGGTTTTTATGCAGATTTCTGCAATTTATCAGTTATTTAACGGTTTGATCCGTTATCTTAGTGATTGATTTGATGGTTTTGATATATATATATAACTCTGTTGTTGCAAATTTTAAGAAATGAAGGTTGCGTGAGATTCTACTGGTTACTGCTGTTACAGGCGATGCGTTTGGATCTTTTTTTTATGGTCTTAATGTGCTAACGTGTGGATTTGCAGTCACGAGACTCAAAGTTCCCTTTCAAAATGGTTCTTTGTTTCTTGATGCTGCAAGTCTTATTGTAGGCTATTTTTTGTTGGTTAATTCACTGTTCAGGGCGTGGAAGTATCTTGAAGAATTTCTCCTCATATGCTGCAATCTGCATCAGCCTATTATAGTAAATAATTGATACTGTAGGGACAAGTGTTGATGCCTGTCTACTTGTTTTTTAGATTTGATGGCTGACCCCCCTTGCCTGTGATACTCTATTGATGACTGTTTTCCCGTTCAAAGCCTGAATGTTAAAGAAAGGTTCAGTCTGTTAATGGTATTTTAAGTACTGTTTATAAGTGTCAGTCATATTGAACAATCAGCTTTGTTTTTCCACTGACAGTGTTCCCTTAAGATATATTATTATGATGAAAAGCAAAAGAAAAAAGCATTGACTAACATAATCTTTTGATAACTTTTTCTCCCAGAGTGCTACTCTTTGGACAACAGTTTCTTTTTTTTTTTTTACGTTATTTGTTTTTATGTTTTCAAGCCATGTGTATTTATGTACCAGTAACCTATCTTGTTGTTTGTGAAGTTTTTTTTTTCCATTTTATTTTGATATATAATTTTCTTATGAGTTCTCTATCCCTAGTTAGGAAATGTGATCCTTTACATTAATCCATTTCCAGGTCGAGGAAGCATCCTTGACCAATGAGATTGGCAAGCGTGAGAAAGCACGTCTTAAGGAAATGCAAAGGCTAAAGAAGCAGAAAGTTAAAGAAATTTTGAGTGCACAAAATGCTGCCATTGATGCTGACATGGTTGGTTATGTTTTGTGCGGTTAGCTTAACTTTTTATTGATTTGCTCATGAATTTGAGCCTGTGTCTACACACTTCACATTGTAGTAGACGCATCTTCTATACCTGTTTTCTTAATCATACTTCTGATTCTTTTTTTTTTGCTTGCTCATTTAATGCTCTGGAATGAAAAATCTGCAGCTATAAAGTTGTTTGCCTCAGTTTCTTGTTGATGTATTATATTCAATGTTTCTTTGTGTATATTTTATTGATAGTATGTCCATTGACAGAATAATAAAGGGAAGGGGCGGCTCAAGTATCTCCTCCAACAGACTGAAATATTTGCTCATTTTGCTAGTGGAAGTCAATCTGCATCTGAGAAAAAATTAGGAGGACGGTAATATTGTTTACATTCAATTTTAGCAGATAGATAAAATTTATAGAACTTCTATGAAACTATTCTTATGTATTGATGAAGAGATTGTACTAAATGCCTAGGATTTATCCCTGATATTAGAGCAGAAACTGACCTTTCTTCTATCAAGTCTTTTTCTGTTTACATTTTTGTTGAGAACTCCTAGGAAACTATTCTTAGGTATTGATGAAAGTATTGTAATAATGCCTAGTGGCTACTTGTGTTTATTCCTTTTATTAAAGGAGAGACTAAACTTTCTACTATTGACTTTTGTTTCTATTTACGTTTTTGCTACTTTCATAGGGGGCGTCATGCTTCGAAACTAACTGAGGAGGAGGAAGATGAAGAATATCTTAAAGAGGAAGAGGACAGTCTTGCTGGTGCAGGAGGGACACGGTTGGTGTCACAGCCATCTTGTAAGCTTTCTTTCTGATATTATTTTAATGAATTGATTTACTTCTTTTTATAAGTTAGCTGAAGTTGCATGCATTTTATCCAAAATTAGCTGCAGAAATATTGGAGAAGACTGTGTTAAGATATTGTTCATATATCATGCATTATTAAACAAACACATCATTTTTCATTGTATGTGGATGCCGTTGAATGCGGATCAGATAACAAAGTTCGTTAGCTTAAAGCTATTGAAACGATTAAGGTTTTAATCATACTGTCACTTAAAAACAATGGAAGATGACTATGATATATGGGTGTGCTATATCATTACTTGCATGAGTCATTGCTGGGAATGGCATCTTAATTTAGGAATGATGTTGTAAAAATTGTCTTATTCTCTACCTTTTAAAGGCCTTTGTTTTTTAGGCTTATGGATGCTATTAGCTCTGTAATTGGGATATGGGTGATTATCATGATAATTCTTTATGTTAATACATTTGTTTCAAATTTTCTTTTAATTCTCTACCTTGATGTATTAACAATTTACAATTTAATGGGATAGACAAGCATAACTTAGACGTTTAACACAGTTAAAAACTTGAAAGCTCTGCAGTTAAACCTTGAAAACTCTGCAGTTAAACCTTGAAAACTCTGCATAGCTCAAACAAACTGCCTTCTATTTTTATAAACATGTAATATGAGTCAGAGGCATATTTGAGGACATTGTTTGTGAAATTTTTTGTATTATAACTTGGCGTTGGTAAGCTGTAGAAGTAACTTGAACAATGTTAAAATCTAATAGTCCATTGCCCTTATTTCTTCTATGAACTGTTAGCTTATAAATAAATTACATTGTCGAGGAATGTATGGTTTCATCTTATTCTTTTATTATTTCTTGACCGCTTATAGTATTTTGTGAATCTATCTTGTTGATTCTAAGTAGGTCAAATTAGATAAAAAGTGGAAAGCTAATGTGATAGGAAACACTTGTAGATCTCAAGTATTTCCTATCAACACAAAACCACGAAAGCAATAGATAATTTGTATTATTTGATGAAATAGAAATGAAAAATACCAAGATACAATTGATCCTATATTCAAGAGAAGGATCTCTCTCCCAAATTTCTAGACGTCGCTAGAGCCCAAAGAAATTAAGAGATCTAAAATTTCAGCCAAATTTAAGATGCCCTAAACCTAGGAAAACCAACAATTTAGTATACAATTCAAAATGTAATCTCTAAACAGTCCTTACATTCAAAATTTCCTCAAAATCCCTCTAAAATCCTTCCAAAACAGCACCCTAATTCTTGCGGCTTGAGTTCAGTGTGTCTAGGAGGCGTACATTTCCGCCTCTGTTTGCGTCCGGCTGGATGGGTCTAACAATACTCCTCTCCCAAAGATCCACCTTGTCTGCAAGGTAGAAAGACGTCACCCTCCTTCATTCTTTCTTCATCACAAACGGTAAGAACTTGAAGAGTTCGGTCTTTACACCTATGTCCCGCCGTATATCTCTCATCACATCTGAAATAGAGCCCCTTCGCCCTTTTCTCTTGTAATTCCATTTTTGTGAGCTTCTTTAAGCTGTCCCCAGGTCTTACTCCTATAGTCTTCTCCTTCAAAGTCTCCCAAAAAGTATTCGATGTAGGCTCCTTTGGTGCCAGAAAGGTGGTGGTCCTCCTGTTCGAACCTCTTTAGCTGTTGCCTCCCTTCTCTCTCCAGGTGCCTCTGATTCTCCAACAATTGAGCTAGCTCCATAGCTTCTCCCAAGTCACGAGGCCTCATTACTCTAACTGCTGTCCGGATCTCTGGTGTTAGTCCCTTCATGAAATTTTCCTCTAGCACTGTCTCAGGAAGGCGGTCCAATCTACTAGTAAGGTAGTCAAATCTCTCCCGGTACTCCATCACTGAACCATTCTATGTTAAGGCGAAGAACTGCTCGTAGAAGTTCTCCCATGCCAGTTCGGAAACGTTCCCATCAAACAATCCTTGAATTCTCTCCAACTTTGTATGGGTCGTTGCATGTCCCTCCATTGGTACCAAGACAAAGCCTTCCCTTCCAAACATAGGCCCGCTGCCGTCAATCTCTCCTTCTCTGTCAACTTATTGACGGTGAAATATCTTTCTACTTTGTAGATCCACCCATGTACGTCCTCGCTTTCAAAGATGCTCATATTCAGCTTTCTCACCTTCGGGTCACCCCTGTTTCCCCTGAATCCTTCATAGCCTCCCATTCCTCGAAGAGGAGGTGCTTCCCAATCGTCACGCTCTTTCCTTCGATGCTCATACCCAAATCCTTCCTCAAAATCTCCTCTTCTTCTTTCAAAATCAACACCCCGATGATCGAAATCATCCCATCTCCTTACAAATTCAACACCCTTCTTGCATAGCCAATGCTCATCTCCTCCATAGAAAGTGGTTCAAGAGGAGGCATTCCTTCTTCTCCCTAAGGATCTCCACTTATGGATATTCCCTGCCCCTAAATGTGTTAGGGTTCCCACCTCTTCCATAACCGCCGGTAGTTTCCTTTGCTTCCGATGTCGCCGGTTTGGGTTTGACTTCAACTAATTTCTTCAACACGTCTTCCACCACGGCGAACTTTCCCTCCATCCTTTCATTGACGGATGTGATCTGATTTTGAAATCAACAATCTTCTCCTCAAAATATGCTTTGAGTTGCCCAAGTTCTCTCTCCAAAACTTTCACTTTCCTTCCGGCCATTGGTTCCCCTTAGATCGACGTGCTCTGATATCAATTTGATAGGAAACACTTGTAGATCTCAAGTATTTCCTATCAATCTTTGAAAAACCGCGATAATTCTCCACAAAATCCACACAAAACCATGAAAACAGTAGATAAATTGTATTATTTGATGAAATAGAAATGAAAAATACCAAGATACAATTGATCCTTTATTCGAGAGGAGGATCTATCTCTTCCAAATCTCTAGATGCCGCTAGAGCCCAAAGAAACTAAGAGATCTGCATTTCAGTCAAATTCAAGATGCCCTAACCCTAGGAAAACCAACTATTTAATGCATACAATTCAAAAGGAAATCTCTAAACAATCCCTACATTCAAATTTCCCTCCCAAATCACTCAAAAATCCTTCCAAAACAGCTCCCTAACACTTGCGGCTTGCGTTCGACGTGTACATGAGGCAGACATTTTCTCCTCTGTTCGCGTAAGTCGGTCCCGTCGGATTGGTTGGACTGTTCTAACATAATGCTTTGGTTTGAGAGAAATGTTGGGAAATGTGCTTTTACTTTTGAATTAATCTTTTGGATGAACTAGCTTGAAATATTTATTTACCATTAATTAATCTCCCTCACATATTAATTTGTATCATGCAATATTTTTTTGAGAAGTGATATTGTTGTGCTAAAATTTGATCATAGCATGTGATGAAACTAAGTGATACGACGTAGGACTCAAATCTTTATTTATGTCTATACTTAAGTTTATATTGAACTTAGATCTAACTTTTTTCATGAGTTAAAATTTATGTTTATTTGCTTATGATTATTAAAAATTGTTGGGAAGGTTAGAATGTTGTAATGAGGTTGAGCTATGGTTGTGTAGGTCCAAATTGAGAGCTTGGATGTTTGAGGGTTTGAGAATGTTGGTGAAATTGAGGGATGTAAAGTTTGAATTTGGATAGAGAGGGGAGTTGAGTGAGGGTTTGTGAATCTATGGTTCGTGTGGTGGAGATGAAATTATAGTAAGATAAATAAGAATCATGCCATCAAGCTTGATCCAAAAGGAATAATTTTCTAAATTTTTAATTCAACAAAAGATAGATCTTACATAACTTTTACATCCTTTTTAAGACATCACTTTTTTTTCAAAATTAAAATTGACATAGGAGGAACTTATAGAGGGCTGATTGGTCCAAGCAAATTGGGAAGTGGGTTGATGTATTACTTTGAGTTATTGTGGTGGTGGGGTTTAGGTTGTTGACTTGGAGTGCATTTTAATTTACTTTTTTTTTTTGGTTGAGCCTTGCACGAGGAGTTTAATGATGCATTTTTTCTTCTACTTGAACTCAACTCAACCTAATCTATATCATGTTCTGTTCAGCCATCTTGAGAAGCGTTGCATGGATGGCCACCTTGCATGTTCCCATGCACGTGTACATTTTATGACAGTCTAATCAACTGCAATCCACTAATAAAGTTCTCATATTATTAATAACTAACTATTTATTAAATTTCAATGTACTTTAATTAACATTACAATAAATGTAGAAATAAAGAGAGTAATCAAATAAAACTCAGTGTTCCTTTGCTGTTTTACCATCAACTCTACCTCGCTTGAAAAAATTCTAAAGAGTTGAGTTAACATAGTCAAACACAACATAGCTAGACTCCAGCTCCATGTGCCCATGAACATGCAAAGTTGGAGTGTTTTGTTGGTACTGTTAACCCTGTATTTGTAAGCCCATGTACATGTGATCTTTTATTTCTTGTACTGATCTATTAATTTCGAAGCCTTATAATTCCTTCGAATATTAACAAATTAATTGCATTGAAAAGAGGTTTATGAAGTATGACAAAAAGCAAATTTAGATAATAATCATGTAGTCTAATGTCCTTATGCAACATATAATATTTGAATGTAGTATGACGAGGGACATGAATGTAAAGTAAAATGCAGTCAGCATTAATGTACTCAAATGAAATTAATTTTGATAAATAATTACAATATATTTATTTCTTTCTTATTATTTTTATGTAGTACAAATGAATGAAGTTTTGAAAGTTATGCGCTAATGATATTGCTGAAGTGTATAAATAATGATCATGTAGGTTAGCTGGTCTAAATAAGAGCCCATTATGATAGCTTCTAAATCATGGTAGCTAGTGGAGCTTAAGTGGTTAGACAATGGTGACCAAGGGGTATGGTCCATGGTGGGATCTAGATCACTTTAAAAAGACATCTCAAGAGAGTTTACTTGTGTGTGTGTGTGTGTGTTTGTATACTCAAATTGGACAAAATAAGAGCAAGACAACGGGATAAAATTAATTCTATATTTGTTAAGAAAGTATAAAAAAAGATATTCTACGGTAAGAGTTCACTTGCTTAGTGGGTAGCCCATTTGATCACGCCCGAAAATAATATTCATACAATATCAAAAATTGTAAAAAGTAGATTAAGATGTTATGGGCAATGTTTTATAAATCAGACAAAACCAACTAGTTCAATCAGTTGAACCGTGAACCAGTTTGTCGTTCGATCAGTTATATTCCCAAAATTGGTTTTGCAACGGATCGGCCTTAACCGATTCGAAATATCGGTTTGAACGGTTAATCGATGAACCAATGCTGATTTTAAAAATCGGTTGGTCTATTTGATATGAAATAGTTGATTTCAAAAACTGATTGGTATATAATTAAATTAATAAATTTATAATAAAATATTTAACTTAATAAATTAATTTAAATTATTATTTTAAAATACATATTAAATTTTAAAATATTTTCTTATTAAATAAACAATAACTATGCTTTGTCGTTTATATTAAATATGAATTAAATTTAAAAATCAAATATGTTTAAATTTAAAATTATAAGATATATTATTTATGTATGAATTTTATTATTTTTAGTTACAAGTTTACAATATTGCATAATTATTATATTATTATGTTGTATTTAAATGAAAAATAATTTTTATTATTTATTACGTCATTCGGTTCAACTCCGATCAAATCAATGAACCTTTTATCTCTCTTTGTTCCAATTCTATGCTAGGTCCAATTTTCACAATGTTGGTTATGAAAAATAAGAAGAATCTTGTTTAAGAAGGTTCCCTTTTTTTCTTTCTTTTGGGTATGTTGGCTCTAATCCAGTGATAATCAAGTGGGAATTTATTTAGGGTGAAAGGTTATGGTTTTTAAAAAGGAAAGTATTTGGATCAATGGAAGTTGTTGCAAGTGCATTTAATTTGAAATTTAGAATATAATTTACATGATGAAATTGCTCGCATGTTATATTTAATAACCATTCTATTTTTAGCAATAAAATTCTTGTTATTTTAGTTTTTTTTTTTATAATAAGCCAACAACAGTCTCATTGGATGTATTTTGCTAAGTTTTTTTTTTCTTTTGAGGACAACATAACTTGAAAAGGAAAAAGCCAATGCTGAAAAAAATGCTTGAGCCGATTAAAGAGATTTCAAATGAAAAGGAAATTATTATTGTTTATGATTATTGTATTTATGCATAAAGAAGAGACATAAATTTCATGGGAGTTATGAAATTTGTTTTTTGTTTGTAACGACCATCAATTTTGAATGAGCATATAATGATACATTTTATGTTAGAAATCAAATAAAAAAGGAATTATGGGGTTGGATTTATATAAAGTTATTAAGATAATCATTAACAATGAAGCAATGTGTAGAGCGGTAGGAATGCTAATTGAGATACTCATATCTTCCATTAAAAAAATTATTTTTTGAAGAGTGCAAATGATGATGATATCACTTGCGAAGAATGTAATAGGATCACATACATTGTTGGAGATGTAAATTTCTTAAAATCCTTCAGTATGAATCATCCAATGAAATTATCAAATTTTATTCAATTTGTATTGTTAAAAATCTTGGTTATAGTAGAGAGTTTTTTTTAATAAATAATCATTATGATTAATCAATTAAAATCAGTGAAATAAGGATTACATACCATGGTGATTAGTGACAATAGGAGTTTGAACTAAGAAAATGATGTGGATATGGCAAAGTTTGTTCGAGGGTTTATTTGGTCTTGATTTCAATGACGTTAAGTTTGGTGGTAAACTCTTCTATTTTTCTTGCTAGCCTTTGTAGTAGATCCATAGATGTAGGCATGATGCAAGCACAAATCTAATAAGGAGTTTTTAAAAAAATTGATAACCAATATAAAATGATTGAAATATAAATGTATGAGAAATTTCCTTAGCGTTTAAGCTTTTGTTCACAACTAGTTTTCACTTGTAATAACAAAAATATTCTACGATGAGCCAACCTAAAGTCAATGTATGAGTCAAGTCAAATAAATTTCTTTCCAACAATCCCACAAAAATATTAAAGCCTTAAGCTTGAAATTTGCTTGTTTTTCTTTCTTCTCTCTTCTCGTCTATATCTTTGATCATTGCTTGCTTTGGCAAAGCTTCCTCATTGTCCTTTATTTCCATCACCTTGCAAAAAAACTTTCAACAATTAATCCATCTTGTTTTATTTTGATGATTATTTTGTTTTACTTTTTTAGGTTCCTTAAATTAATTGTTGTAGTTGGAATATGAATCACATGCTATTTTGGAATTATTCTAAAAATATAACATTTATGGGGTTTATGTTCTGCCTCTTGACATGCAAAGCTTCACTTATGGCTCGCCTTTTAGAACATTGGATATAAATTATTGTTTTGGATATTTTCCTTTTAAATTTAAGTTAGATAATAAAATTTTATTTGAATTTGAATAGCTTGGTAGGGTTAGTTTTAAATTTAAATTGTAAATTCTATTTCTAAAATATTGAATGGAGAATTTTTTTTTCACATTATGAATTTAATTAAGTTATTTTTCTTTGATTCCTCTCAACTCTTTGTTCTCTAATTGGCCTTCCTCTCAGATGAATTCTATATTCTCATCCTCCTCCCAGTTTCTCTCTCATCTCCCCATCCATCTCTCATGATAGCATAGTTTCTTAGGTTAGATGTCTTCTCTCTTTCTCTCTCTCACACACTCTCTCTCCCCCCTATGGGAATACAAGCCTGATTGCTTCATTTCTATCTCTAATTCTTTCTCTTCTAAAGCCTTTCATCTCTAAAGTTGTAGCCTGGTTGAAAGGATAGGATCTCAAAAAGGAGATCTACATCAACAAGATCTCAGCCACTAAGATTTCTGGCCTCTATACCAAGACTCAGAATTCGGAAATGTATGGATAATGATAATCATTGCTACTATGGCCAACTGTTCTAATATTTTTGGGGTTTTAAGATAATATTTTTGATCATAGATTCATAGATAGATACTCAAGTCTTGCTTAGTTTTCTTTTATATTTTATTGGCTAATCTAATACAATTAAGTTGTGAAGATTGTGTATTTTGATTAAATGTCCAATTTAAACTCCCTTTGATAAATTAATAGGGATATTGTTATGTGGGATTGTGTTACTTTAAGGAGGTTATGTGCACTCTAGCCATCTTTTCATTCAGATGAATGCCCCCTGATTCATGGGAAAACTTAGTGTGCAAATGTTAGTCCCTTTTTGGGATATTGCATGGTTAAAAAGTTGCAAAATAATTGAAAGTGTGACGTCAGTTTTGTTGTTTGTCTTGCAGGTATACAGGGTAAGATGAGAGATTACCAATTAGCTGGGTTAAATTGGTTGATTCGATTGTATGAAAATGGCATTAATGGGATTCTTGCGGATGAGATGGTATTCTCCTATGTTTTCTCTTGTTTAGTAGATTTTAAAGATGAGTTGCTCCATTATTTTTCAGTTAGAACATGATGTAGTTTTTTGCAATAAATTTTATTTTTTGATATTTTCAACCTTATAATAGCTCTTTGTTCTTTGTTTTTATCGTCTAACTTAAAACTTATGGTTTTTACCGTGTCCAGGGTCTTGGAAAGACATTGCAAACCATTTCCTTGATGGGTTATTTGCATGAATTCAGAGCAATTACCGGCCCTCACATGGTTGTGGCACCAAAATCTACTCTTGGTAACTGGATGAATGAGATTCGACGCTTCTGTCCCATTTTACGTGCTGTAAAGTTCCTAGGAAATCCTGATGAAAGGGTCAGATGGATTCTTATCTTGATTTTCTTGTGTTCCAATGCATCTTTCATTATGGTGTGTTGCAATACATTTTTCATTATGACTTGTTGCTGATCTTCTATTGTTACTACTGTTTCTAGAAATACATACGGGAGAATTTACTGGTTGCTGGGAAATTCGATGTACTTGTAACAAGTTATGAGATGGCTATTAAAGAAAAAAATGCCTTAAAACGCTTTAGTTGGCGTTATGTGATCATTGATGAAGCTCACCGGATAAAGAATGAAAATTCTCTCCTATCAAAAACAATGAGACTATATAATACCAATTATCGTCTTCTAATCACTGGCACGCCACTTCAGGTATCTTACATTGTATATTATAGAATTGAATATGTTATGTTGCTAACAATTTAATTTTATACTGTTGGCTCGCTGCAAATCTAAGAATTTTATTTTTGAGAACAAATAAGATTTTTGTCCGGTTTTCTAGTTGATGGATTTGAATTGAGTTACTTCGTGCCTTGCTATAATTGAAATGTTTAAGAACCGCAAACATATGATATAATGAATAGAGTTTTTTTTTTTTTATTAATTTACTTAAATTCCTGTTACATTCCTCTGCTGAATATTGCAGCAATTGCTGAATTGCTTTAAAATTCTTCTTTTACATGTAAGTGTGGGATTTTTTTCTTTGCAGTTAGGATGGGGATATTTACTTGTTTCTTTGTGGACTTGACCACTTTTGATGCAGGTAATGATGTTGGCAACGAGAAAAACTCTCAGTGCTTACTGAAAAAAATAATAACTAAATTCTTAATAAGTGGACAAACAACATTTAAATTCAAAAAGTGATGAAGGGTTGAGTAATGCTCTAACCATTTCTTATTGAAAAGCTTAACACTCCCAACAATAGAGCAAAACATTCCTTTCCTATTGTTGTTGGGAGTGCATAGAAAAAGCAAGATCTATAATTTACTAGCTCACATATCGATGATATTAATATAGGGCGGGGAAGGCATGTGAAGAAAAATTTCTTATAAGGATATATCATATAGCTAAGGGCAATCAGATAATTCGGTAATTTTTTTCGTGTTAGCAAGAATCAAGTTGCACTAGTAATTGATGTTTAAATTAATATAATGCTTATAGACTTATTGGAGGATATGCATAAAATATGACATTGAGTTAGGATCAAAGTAGTAAAAATTGTTTGTAAAATAGACTTTTTATGACTAACTATAAATTGTGCAATTGCATAGATTTGTATCATTGGATCTAATGTTTTTAAATCATAATTCAATGTGTAAGGGTTTTTTTTATTCTTAAATGTGTAAGGCATAGTGAGAAATAATGCTTATATATATATATATATATATATATATATATATATATATATATATATATGGCTCCCTAAAGATTAATTACACTCGTGGGAATCTCTAAGAGTAACTCCCGATATGTGAAACATGCATTTATCTTGATTTATTTAGATTAATTGTAAAAAAAATATTATGATTAAAAAACTATTAACTTGACAGTACAATTTATACTTAAAGACTGATAAATTTGTAGGCTAGAGGGTGAACCAATGATCTTTTTTTCATAAAAGTTTATATAGTCAAAGTTGTTGAATAATCAATGAATCGGCAAAAGATTATGGTAGATTTAAAAAAAAGGATGGTGGGTAGGGAGTAAGAAATCTATGAGAGGCTATAATTAGCTTTGGTTAGGATTTCATGGATCTATTATTCTTAGGCTATCAAGTTTGAAATCATGCAGTTAGTTTTGGATGATGCAATTTATGGTTGTTGACAAATGCCTCATTGTTGGGTTGGGTCGGGTCGACTATCTTCTCAACAGAATCATTTCAAATTTGATAGTCTAGGGATGATGAATCAATGAAATCCTAACCAATGTTATTTTTACCCTTTCTTGAATTTCTTTCTCCCTATCCGCTATTCTTTTTTGAGCCTATAACAGTTCTTTGTTGAGCCTTTAATAATTTAACGACTTTGATTATATAAATTTTTGAAACCTTTCAAAGTAATCTATTTTGGAGCCTTTCATCATGTATAGTTTATGTAACCTATTTTGAAACATTTCAAAGTTAATATAATTACCAAAACTATGAGGCTTTTAGTTGAAAAGCCTGTGGGTATCTGGGCTGAGAAGTAAGACCTAAAGGGACACCACTTCTTTCATCATCTTGTAGGGTAAAAAACAATCATTACACTTTAATTAGAAGCATTAGGGGTTAGTTGTATATTATTTAAGTACATTCGGTTTATGTATTTGTTGAGATCAAATGATTTGGGTAAATTGTAATTACACTTAATTTATTTGATTTTCTTAAACACAAAAGTTAAGTATTTTTAGTTATTTAGTTAATATTGTGATGCAGAATATTCCAGAGGCTAGAATTTCAAGTTTTGATGAATGCTGTCAACACGTAAGGCACAACACATGATGAGATTTTTTCAGTTTAAAATCCATTGAAAACAAAGTGCACATATCATAATAACAATTACGTAATATATACCATTCAACAACCTTCATTAAAATCAAAATCATGAAATATTGTATAGTATTTTTAAGTCAAATATTAACAATAATTTTTTTGCTATTTATTAGGTAATTTAAAAGTAAACTCATCAGATTTTTGATATTTTGAAGAAGAATCAATGTGATATAAAACAACCACCACAAGCGCAGGAAATTGTTGAATTTCAGATAAATTCAACAAAGTTGATGCAGAAATTCCAAACTTAATAGAGAAAACAACAATATAAAATCTCCAATTCAGCAAAAGAATAAGAAAAATAGCAAACAATACAAGAATCTTCAATTCGAGAGGAAGATTCAACTCTCCAAATCTCTAGCCAAAGATTAGAACCCAAACACCACACGAGATCTCAAATTCAGTCTCCAAATTCAAGATAACCTTAACCCTAGCCAAAAAAAATGGCTTAAAGTGAAATACAATTAATTAATCCCTAAATAGGCCCCAAGTTTGAATTTTTCCTCCTAAACCCTTGCTCCAATCAATGATTGGGCCCCACCCTTGTCCTGCCCCCCTCCAGATTCCGCCCCCTATATGGGCTTGCCTCCTGTAGTAATGAACCGGTCTAGGAGGGACCGGTTCAGCTTGGACCAGCCTAACATTACCCTCTCCCAAAGACTCACCTTGTCCTCAGGATGAAATGAAGAAAATTGATAATTCACACTCTCATATGGTTCCCAAGTAGCATCAAAGTCGGGAAGATCTCTCCATTTAATAAGTACTTCTTTGTTCCCCTCTTTGTTTGATCTCACCCCTTTTAGCCCCAGTGGTTTTAAGACCATTTTCAATTCCTATGTTAAAGTTGCTAGTAAATCTGCACTAACTGCATGCTCCCCAAGAGCTATCTCAACTGTAACATATGGAAAACTGGATGTATGGTGGCAGATAGGGGTACCTTCAAATAGTACGCCACTTCTCCATTCTTGTCCAATATCTCGTAGGGGCCAAAGTACCTTAGAGACAATTTCTCGTTTCTACTGTTGGCCACTGTCCTCTATCTGTAGCGCCGCAGTTTTAAGAACACATTCTCCCCTACTTCAAACTGGATATCTCTCCTATGTGCATCTGCCTGTTTCTTCATCATATGCTGTGCCCTCAACAGATGTTTCTTTAACTCCTCCAACACCCTATCCCTTTCCGCCAAGTATTGCTCTACTGAGGAGACTGGTGTGCTTTTGATAGGAAACACTTGGATTTCCAAGTGTTTCACACCAATAACCAAGTAGATCTCGGATGAAAATTGCTGTCCACACAGGAAAACAGTGGATTCGGAGAGAAAACGAAAGAGAAAACGTAAGAGAAACAAAGCAAACACTTTTATTTAATAAGAGATGAAAAGCACTTGCAAGATACAACTTTCCTTCGATTCGAGAGGAAGGAAAAACTCTCCAAATCTCTAGCCGTAGCCTAGAGCCCAAGAACACAAACCCTAGATCTCAAAAAAAAGATTCAAATGCAAGATAACCCCCTCTTCCCCCTATAACACTTTGAAAGGTGTCATCTGAGAAGCTGAGTGGTACAAGATATTGTACCAATATTCAGCCCATGCTAATCACTTAACCCACATTTGTGGTGTTTTAGAATAAAATCACCTCAAATAAGTCTCCAGGCTCATGTTGACTAACTTCGTTTGTCCGTTCGTCTGTGGGTGATAAACAGTGCTTCTCTTAAGAATTGTTCCTTGTAATCCGAACAACTCCTTCCAGAATTGACTGAGAAACACTTTGTCTCGGTCAGAAACTATAGACTCCAGAATCCCATGCAGTCTAACCTCTTCCTTGATGAATGCTGTTGCCACTGTCACTGCGGTGTAGGAGTGTCGTAAGGGAATGAAATGTGCGTACTTACTCAGCCTATCCACCACCACTATAACGGCTGTGAATCTCTCCGATCGTGGTAGGCCATCTATAAAATTCATGGACACTTCTCCCATACTATGTTTGGAAGTGCCAAGGGTTGTAGTAACCCCCTTAGAGTTATAGCCATATACTTGTTCCTTTGGCACACCTCACACCTCGCCACCATCTCCTCCACATCCTTATGCATCCCCTTCCAGTATACCTCAGCAGCCAATCTCCTGTATGTTTCTGTACCTCGGAATGACCTCCAACTACACTCCCATGGAACTCCTGCAGTAGATGGGGAATATGGATGGAAGTTCGTGGCATCACAAATCTCCCTTGATGTAAGAGTCTCTCCCCCTCAAGTGAGTACCCTGGATGGCTATTCGTATCTTTCATGAACTCCTCCCAAATCTTCCTCAACTCCTTATCCTACATACACTCTTCTTTGATAGCCTCCTAATTTACCATTAGTGGTACTGAAATTGTCATCTCCTGGAGCTCCCCAACACATATCTATAAGGCATCAGTCGCCTTTATTTTCCAAACCTGGCTTGTATTGGATTTCAAAATCATTGCTTAGCAGTTTGGACAACCATCTCTGATGTTCCTCAGTTATCATCTTTTGCTCTAATAAGTAAAACAATAGCCATCAGTTCCCTCTTATATATCGACTTCAGATTAACTCTGGCTGATAGTACATGATTGTTATATGCTATAGGTCTGTGGTTTTGCATGAGTCTGACTAGGGGTGTCAATATTGGACCAGATCCGAAACACGATCCAAAAATTTCGGGTTTGGGTTTACCCGAATCCAAAGCGGGTCAAGTTAGGGTCCAGAAAATTGACCCATTTGCAAAATCGGGTCGGGTTCGAGTTGACCTGGGAACTCGGGAATGACTCGAAATGACCCTACCCAAGTCTGCCCGCTTGCCCCGAGGCCTCGCCTGTCCCAGCTGCCCCGAGTCGTGTCGCGTCCGCGACTTCGCTCGTCGCCGGCACCATGATCGCTACCCAGCCAGCCGCCGGCACCGCTGCCGTTGTTCCGGCTACCGTGCTATCCCTAAACCCTAAACAGGTCGGGTTGACTCGAATCCGAAGCGTGTTGGGTCCGGAAAATCGACGGGTCGGGTTGACCTGAACCCGAATAGCGTCGGGTTAGTTCCGGGGACCCATACTCGACCCGGATGACATCAGTACTCCCCATAATAAGAATTTCATAAAATAACCACCACAAGCGCAGGAATTTGCTGAATTTTAGAGAAATTCAATGAAGTTGATGTAGAAATTTCAAACTTAATAGAGAAAACAACAATATAAAATCTCCAATTCAGCAAAAGAACAAGAAAAACAACAAACGATACTAGAATCTTCAATTCGAGAGGAAGATCCAATTCTCCTAATCTCTAGTTAAAGACTAGAGCCCAAACACTACACAAGAGATCTCAAATTCAGCCTCCAAATTCAAGATAATCCTAACCCTAGCTAAAAGGAAATTACTTAAAGCAAAATACAATTAATTAATCCCTAAACAGCCGTCAAGTTTGAATTTTCCCTCATAAACCCTTGCTCCAATCAATGATTGGGCCCCACCCCTGCTTCGCCCCCCTTTATGGGCCCGCCTCCTGTAGTAATGAACCGGTCTAGGAGGGACCGGTTTAGTTTGGTCCAGCCTAACACAATGTCAATAAGGTAACATGTGTTCCTAATTTTCCATGTAAGTAGGTACACTCGAAGGTGCCACTAAAAATCTGTTGCACATGTTTTGACTAGGAGATGAGGATCTGGACTATCTATTTTACTGCTTAACGTAAGAAAGTTTCTATTGATGTCATCAATTCCTTGTTACTTGCCTTAGACATAGTCTATCCATAGAAACTTACCGCATATGAACTGTGAATAAATAAATCTTAGCTTTTGGAACCATTAGAATTGTTGAAAGAAACAAATCCTGGAAACCAACTAGAAATCCCAAAAGCAAACAAAGTCAAACTTGAAAATTTCTGGAATATCGTTAACTGAGACACATGGACAGGAATAAGTTCAATTGTAGGAGCATTAATTCCTCAACTTGAAAATTTTTTAATTTCTATTGACAAGTCCACTCGATCAGGAATAACTGTGTATGATAAGAATATCTATACCGCAATTTTCATAAGTTCTAAGTTCAGTGCTCTGTGCATCATAAAAAGTTCTGCAATTTGGACAGACTCAGAAGGAAACTTTGCATTTCCAATAGAATTTTATAAGTTCATCTCTTACGAAGGCTTTGAAGTAGCAAAAAAAAAAAGCAATCATAGCCCAAATAGAGAGCCATTTATCATAGACATATTTTTCAATCTGTGTAAGTGCAAATTTTAGCCGACTCATCTGATTTATTTACAATCACAAATGAAAACTGTGTTGCGAGGCAAACATTTTGTTTCCAACCATGGTGTACTTTGAACTTCGTGTCATAGTGGCTCCTAAATTTAAATGGTCCTTTTCTAGTTTACTTTTTTCACATGATTTTTTTCATAACAAATTTTTGCATTCTGTTTTTGATGCGTTTTCTTGAATCTCCTGCGATGTGTAAATTATACTTATTGGCGCAATACATGTGAAATGCAGAATAATCTTCATGAGTTGTGGTCACTCCTCAATTTCTTATTGCCTGAGATATTTAGTTCAGCTGAAACATTTGATGATTGGTTTCAAATATCTGGTGAAAATGATCAGCAGGAGGTTGTTCAACAGCTTCATAAGGTTGGCTTTGATTCAAGTATGATATCCATCCTTTCTTTAATCTCTGTTATTGTTCTAACTTATTATTTTTGTTATTTGCAAGGTTCTTCGCCCATTTCTACTTCGGCGGCTTAAATCTGATGTAGAAAAAGGATTGCCGCCTAAGAAGGAGACCATACTTAAAGTAGGAATGTCCCAGATGCAAAAGAATTATTATCGCGCTTTGCTTCAAAAAGATCTGGATGTGATAAATGCTGGTGGAGAAAGGAAGCGCCTTTTAAACATTGCCATGCAACTGCGTAAATGCTGTAATCACCCATACTTATTTCAGGGTGCAGAACCTGGTCCTCCATATACCACAGGAGACCATTTGATAACAAATGCAGGTGACTTATCTGATAAAATATGATTACATATGACCATGATATCAGATGACCATTGTCTTGATTTTATTTCAGGAAAAATGGTTCTTCTTGATAAATTGTTGCCAAAGCTGAAGGAACGTGATTCCAGGGTTCTAATATTTTCACAGGTTAATTTCTCTTAATAATTTGTTTTTTTTAAACATGTATGAATGCTTAGAGCTCTAGAAGTTTTATTGCGTGGTAATAGAATGCATTTGAAACTGATGTTTCCTTGGTGGCAAACGGGAGCATTTTGGCATATTGGAAGGTGAATGATATTTAACATCTTCTGCATGCCCATTGATGCATGTAACCCTAAATACTTGTTTGTTATGCTAGGACAGTTAAATATTTTATTTGATGTTAAATTTAAGCTACTTTAATCATTTTGAGGGATTTCTAACCCTTTAAGCTTTGGCCTAACCCTTATTCATATATAGTTTCCTTATTAATCATATCCAATATATCCCTTTTATTTCTGTTCCTCTCTTGAGCATGCCTATTACATTTCTGTTTATTTTTTACCGAGTTAGACTCTAGCACTTACACATTTTATTTGCAAATCTCAGTTGAAGTGTCACCACAGATAAATGCCATTCTTAATTTTTCCCCCCCAAATATGTAATTAATAAATGCTCTCTTTGTTGTTAGCGTCATGCTCATATTATTTTGTTTTTGCAAAAAATGGTAGTTGTTTCTAGTTGCTGCTTTCAAATAACATTTCTTCTTTACAGATGACTAGGTTGTTGGATATCCTAGAAGACTATCTGATGTTTTGTGGGTACCAATATTGTCGAATTGATGGTAGTACTGGAGGGGAAGATCGTGATGCTTCTATTGAGGCCTTTAATCGGCCAGGAAGTGACAAATTTGTTTTCTTGCTTTCAACGAGAGCAGGTGGTCTAGGAATTAACCTTGCCACAGCAGATGTGGTCATTCTCTATGACAGCGACTGGTGAATTTGCCATGCTGTTGCATTAAGCTTTGTCAAAACAAATGTTCATGTTTTAGTTCATTTAGCCTGATAATCCTGTTTTCATCCTCAGGAATCCTCAAGTTGATCTGCAAGCACAAGATCGTGCTCACAGGATTGGCCAGCTGAAAGAAGTTCAAGTGTTCAGATTTTGTACCGAGGTTCATTTTGATTTTTAAAATTTGTTAGCTGAGGCATTCCAAAAGTTAGTTAGATTTTAATGGCATATTTCCTTTCATTAACAGTTCACAATTGAGGAGAAAGTGATTGAGAGGGCATATAAGAAGCTTGCCCTTGATGCTTTAGTAATTCAACAAGGTCGATTGGCAGAGCAGAAAAGTAGGTGCTATGCATTATAAAATAGATTCTCCTCAAGACAAATCTTGCGTTTTTATTTCATATTTCATTTATATCTTTTAATGCAGCTGTAAACAAGGATGAGCTATTGCAAATGGTAAGATTTGGTGCGGAGATGGTTTTTAGCTCCAAGGACAGCACCATAACAGATGAAGATATTGATCGGATCATTGCTAAAGGAGAAGAAGCAACTGCTGAGCTTGATGCAAAGATGAAGAAATTTACAGAAGATTGCATTAAATTTAAAATGGATGACAGTATGTGTTCTTCATGTTCTTTTATTACTTTTTTTTTCCTCTATGGTCACTCAAAAGTATTTTTTGGCATTAATTTTCATTGTTTTCAGATGCCGAGTTATATGATTTTGATGATGAGAAGGTACAAATTTGCACTTTAAGTTATAAGAAATATCTTAATTGGAATTATTTGGCTGGATATGTCTAGTTAATCATGTGTATGTGTTTTGTTAATTAATATTATTTAAAGCTTTCTTAATTTTATCCATTTAGGATGATAGCAAACTTGATTTCAAGAAGATTGTTAGTGAGAATTGGATTGAACCACCCAAAAGGGAACGCAAACGCAAGTGAGTTTATACTACAAATATTTTATATCATTTTCTTTCTTCTATTCGGTTTTTGTATATTATATTTGTCCCATCTATCTAGTTACTCGGAGTCAGATTATTTCAAACAAGCAATGCGTCAGGGTGCTGGTCCTTCAAAACCAAAAGAACCACGAATCCCTAGAATGCCACAACTGTGAGTTTTTATTGAATTTTCTATTTTGTTTACATGATGCAAAGAAAAATATTTCGTCTTCCTCTTTAGTTTCTAGATTAAATTAGTAGTTTATGTAGGAAACCGATGTGCCATTTAGATGACATGATCTTTTGTTTTTATTACAGGCACGACTTCCAGTTTTTCAATAGTCAACGACTTAGCCAGCTTTATGAAAAAGAAGTTCGATATCTTATGGTGCGTTTTTATAGGACTTATTTTTTTTCACTAATTTATTGGCTCCTGTTCTTGTTTTCTTTTTTTGATGTTTTTTTGGGGAAAAATTGGATGGTGTCTTTTCTTTAAAAAAAGACAGTGAATGATTTATACGTTACTCAGATGATTTATGCTTGTTTTATTTTTGCATTGCATGTGATTTATAAAAGGCACTTTTTTTTTTAGTGTATATTCTTTATTGGAATCAAAATAATCAAAGATGAGTAGTTGGGTTTTAATGCAAGCCAAAACCACCCTAATCAATTCAAAATTAATCATCTATTTTTTTGTCTAATTAAGCTAATTATTTTCATCATTTTTTTTCTTATCTACTTTATGGATCCTTATTTTCCATTTGTCCATGTTGAGTTTTGTGTGATTTTTTGAATATTTTTTCCAAATCATTTAGAACAGCTTCTATTCATATTATCTTAAGTTAGTTTTGCTCTTTTTAAAAAAAAAAAAAAAATTCTAATCACTTATAAATTTTATGTTTTAAGTGGGATAAATGCTTGTTTTTAAGTGGGATAAATGCTTGTTTTTGTTGGGTGAATTTTTTTATCTTCTGTAGCATGTTCAAACCACTTAAGTTTATGTGCAAATACCTTATCTTTAGTAGATGATGCTCTATTTGTTCTTTTGATATAATTATTTTCTAGTTTATTTTTTCTAATTTTTTTGATAGCACTATTTTAAATGTTTTGAAGCTTATTATTCTTAATTTGGCTATCAACAATTTGTTTGTTGCTCAAGCTCAGATCCATAAATTATAATAGGGATTGGTGAAGTTGTTGGCGGGGCGGGTTGGGAGTTTTAGGGAGGAAAAGGTTGGGGGCTTTGGTCACATTCATGAACCCTCTAGGAAAGTCCAATTGTTGGTTGATATTTGTTGTCAATTTTTTTATTTTAATCAATCTTCATTATTGAATATTTGTAAGATCATCCTTTCTGGCCTTTCATTGGGCACTGATGATGGGAGAAGTAGATATGTTAGTGACTTGAGAGCACGTTGATAATGTAGTTCTCAAGCTAAACATCAAGTAGAACATGACGATAGCATGGTGATAAGTAGTTTCCATGGGGATGAGAGGCTAGAGCCATATTGGAAGTCAGGGAGGTCATGGTGGTGATTGTTTTCGGTAGTATGGACTTGACACAAGTTGGTGGGGGTGAGGCTGAATTGCTTGATGATGGTTTGATTATTGAAGGGGAAGGGGTAATGGGATGTGCTGTGAAGGATGATACCATAAATCTTTGAGTCGAAGATGAGGGTGTGGGCTGGTATGATCCAATTATAGATGTTGTTTATAGGCAAGTGTCTTTTTAATTTTCATTATTATTTTGGAAGAAAAATATGGCATAAATAATCTAGTTAGAAGTTGATCAGAATGAAATGTATACTTTTAAAACACTAGGATCGATAAACTTATATTGTTAAAATATAATATCACTATTGTTTTTAGTTTACACTCCCTTATCCTTTCTAGAACTTCTAGATGATTTTTTTTTTTGAGAAAATGCAATAGCATTAAAAGCAAATAAAAAGAAACAAAGTACAAAACACTTAAGTGATAGTATACCTATCACTTTCCTCCTTTAACAATGAATAAAAAGGAGGAACCTTATTAACTTCTAGAACATCCAAAAAAAAAAAAAATGCCTCTCAAAGCAAAGTTAGCACACCAATGAGCTAACTTGTTACAATCTCTATTAATAAACTGAAAAAGAGTTACCTCAAACTCTTTAAGAAAATCGAAGTTCTCTTCTGTAGACAGAACCAATCCTTTATTAGCAAAAGATTTCTACAGATAGCTAATGACATTAGAACTGTCACTCTCTATAATTAGACCTCTAGCATCCATCATCCATTCTTTCATAACTTCTCTCAACAAGCGAAAGGCCAATAGTTCCAGAAAACCAATATCCCAATGAACCACCGAGAATCCAAAGGATAGAAGCATCATTCCTTTGTTATCTTTGAATATACCTTCTATCCTTGCTTTGTTAGAAGGAAGAAGAGAAGCATCTATATTCACCTTAATCCAACCGGGTGGAGGGGGATGCCAAAAGGAAGAATTCAGCTTATGAAGCTGGTTAGCACCCAAGTGGTCCGTGTATGGATTATTAGATGAAAAAGCTGCATGAGTAATGGCTCGCATCCTTCATGAATCAGTTTGTTCCTACTCTTCCAAGAGTTGAAAACCAAAGCACAATAAACTCTTATAATGAAACAGTCATTCTTCTCTATCTTATTAAAGAAAATAAGACAATCTTGTAGTCAGCTAAAAACCGGTAAAGAGAATCCCCATCTATTAGCCAGTTGGATAAACTGAATTAATTTTAAGCATTTCACGGCCACATGCTCTCCATCCTCTATCATACCGCAGTCTCTAGGACAAAGATTATTATTCAATAATCTTGTATTCATTAAAAATTCACAAGAGGGAATTGCATTCTTCAACAGCCTTCACCAAAAAAACTGCAATCCGGGGATTAAGCTTAAGCTTTTTAATATCCTTCCAATGTTGAATAAAAGACTGATTTTCATCTTCGGATTTATTAGGTACCCAGTTTAAAATTGCGTAATGTGAGGGGTGCCTCAGTGCAATTCTATTACAAACTCAATGATTGTGCTTTGAGGCGTACAACTCAATCTGGCTGAGGCACAATTTCCATCATAGGCGTGAGGCATTTGCCTTTTGTATGTCTTTTTTTTTAATTATAAATATAGAAAAATAACTAATTTTTAACCTTATCTAAACACATGCACCTTCACACGGACTAGTCACACCCATGCTGTAATCCTTATCCTTGACGTCCTGCTGTGAGTTCTTGCCGCCAGTCTACCACTACAACTACCGATGATCGCCTGGGGATGGCCGTCATAACCACCACCTTCTCCTTTTGCTATTACATAATATATTTTATATTATTTTGCTATTGTGATGTTGGATTTCAACTATATTTCATATAACATATTACTTGCCACTTTACGAATTGTGTAATTTTTTATTTCATTTTTATGCCAAATTGTTATTTCATAGTTCAATAGAAAGTTAATATGTCATCCTTTTGTATATTATTTGGTTATTATATAAAAAAATCTCTTTTAACCTTCATTTTTATTTTACGTAATTTTTAGATTTTGAGGCTTATGTCTCAAATCGTCTGGAGGCTTACACCTCAACTCAAGGACCGAAAATGTCTCAATATCCAATTGCATAATTTTAAATATAGATTAGGTGAATTATTGTGTTATATCTAACTACTTAGAAGTTTATATATTTTCTTTATAGTCATTTTTGTTTTGTTATTCTTTTCTTTGATCAATCTATGATATATTTATTATTTTGTTCATTTTGCTCTACTACATAATATTTCCCTTTAAGCTCTCATCTAATATATATATATATATTTCAAAATAGCATTTTCATAGGACATGCAATTTGCTGTTGGTCGTTAGGCTCTTGTATCTGAAATTCCATTCCCCTCTTGGTGTCGATACATCATGGAATCCTGATGGGGCTTAAAGAAGTTATGTTTCCATGTTACTAAAGCTGTCATTTGATACCAGTCTGGTCTAAGAAAATGTCTGCGCCTTCAACATTTGTACATTCTTTTATGGGCTTGTCATCTCAATATTTTGTAATACATGATCACGTTTTGCCTTTTTTGTGCAGCTGGCCCATCAAAGGAGCCAGTCTAAAGATTCAATTGGTGATAGTGATGACCCTGAAGGTTTTTATTTTTTAAATTTAATTTTTTTTATATCTTGAAGTTTACTAGCTATTCATTCATTGATGTATACGGAGTGAAGACTTCGCTGTTGTAATTTTGCAGAATTAGGTGAATCATTGACGGCAGAGGAACAAGTAGAGAAGGAACAGTTGTTAGAAGAGGTGACCAAATTTAAATTTTTGGAAAAAAATTCTTTTATTATTCCTTATGTCAAATTTTTTGAGCTTTATTTTGCATGTTTTAGGGTTTCTCAACATGGACGAGAAGGGACTTCAATACATTTATTAGGGCTTGTGAGAAGTATGGACGTGGTGACGTAAAAAACATAGCCTCTGAAATGGAGGGTAAATCACAAGAAGAAGTTGAAAGATATGCCAAGGTTTTTCGGGAGAGATACAAAGAACTTAATGGTATATTGTTTTTGTTCTATTTCCATTGCACGTCATTATTGGGTATATATTTCAGCTTTTTCTTCATTCTCAATCTCATTAAAACTCTTTCTTAGTCCGTGCAGTGATTAAGATTCAATGTGTTTTGATGGTGAATAAGAGCTGTAATGAAAAAATGCATATTCATTGAGCTGGAGGAAAAAAAAAAGAACGGGGTATTAAGATATGCATGTGTTAAAAGGAAAAAAATTCTTTATTTTCTTATTATTCATTGGAGGATTCTTCTTTTTGGTGCAGAGGAGCAAGTATAATTCTAAGGTGTAATTAAATATAAACACAACTCATCAGATATAAACAAAATTTCTAACTGAATATATTTTAGGGCTAACATTTCCTTTTAATTTGGAGCATATATATCAACAAGATTTATGTCACGATCTGGCCCAGATACTCGAACTAATGAGGTGGAAACTAACAATTGGACGGCTAAGAAAATTACTACTCTTACTTATAACAATAAATTTTAACATTTTACAAACAATGAAGAGCCATAATAAAAAATTTCACAAATACTTAACATTTGCATAAATCATAATTTACCTTCTTCCATTCGTACACTTTATGTGGACATATTCTATTTCTCTTTCAGTCATTTCTATTTCTCTGAAGACTTACCTGAAAGTTTAGCTGAATAGGTTGAATTTGCATAGTAAACTTGGTGATAATCTTTCTTTATATAATACATAAACAATGAATGATATCCTTCTCATTTCTCATTTCTCATTTCTAATATAATATTAAAACAAATATAACTTTTGATGTATGTATATTCATATACATATATTTTTGATATAATTTTTCATTTCATTCACTCATTTCTTTATACATTTCATATACATTTCAACATTTATTTTTTTCCAATTCATTTAGTACAGGAGCACCATCTAAATATATCAATAAAGGTAGAACCATTTACATTTGCATTTTCATTTCCATTTAACATGTACATGTACATTGCTTCCCTAGCCAGTATTATTGAGGTAACTCATATAATTTGCATACATATCCTCTTACCTTTTTCATTTATTCTCAATTATTCATTTATGTTTATATCATTTTCTTTTATTATTCTTTACTTGTATTCTATATATCTATATATATATATATATATATATATATATACATTCTTTTACAGATTCATATATATGTTCATACTTTCTCATAATAATCAATGCATATTTTACTATCATATATACATTTGAATTTTACATTGCTTTATTCATAATAGTATCAAAATAAGTAAAATAATTATGTAAATATTTTTTTTAAATGAAAATGAAAATATAATAATGAAATTTCAAACAACTATAATTACCTACTTTAAATATTTCTGAGCTCTAATTTCCTTCCAAACCTCAAACTTTGTTATGACTTTATCAACAGTTGTTTTAACTTAATTATGAAGATATTCCAATATTTAAATAACATTAATGTGATCTTAATTTATAAAACTTCAGCTTGGAGCACTCAATAGATTTTCAAAGCAACATCAAGGATTCCTATTCTCTAATTTACTTCAAACATTTCCAAAATCTATATTAGAAAATGATTACCTCATCGAAATTTTCCTTCATTGCAAATCTACTTCTTTCATTATTGGATTTAAAGTTGTTATAGTTTGATTCTTCCTACAATAGTAATGTTTCTTCAATTAGAAGAAAAGAATTTTAATATTTTCTTTCTCTTTGTTGAACAGATAGAAAAAATAAGAAAATAAATATTTACTATTCTTTCTATGTTGTCAAAAGTAGACGAAAATTCACAATCCCAATTTTCGGACTCTTCCTCCTAGAACTTTCTTCTTATGCTCTCGAATTTGATGTCAACCTTTACTTAGGTTTCTATCATACAAGAAACTGCAAGGAAGAGAAATAAAATATAAACTTACTTTCTTTCATCTCCTCTCTCTCATTTCTCTGTCGTATTACGTCCGTTTACTTCCAAAAGAACGAAGGAAACAAGTATATAACTCATGAGTAGTTATTTCCTTCATAGTGTGAACCAGCATTTATTCTATTTCAAACTATCTTGTGTTAAATGCTTTGACATGATCATCTTCTTCATATATGCACGGATGTCCTCTTTTACCACCTTCGACATCTTGGCACATGGTGTTACATTTTTGTTGGAGCTAGAAGGATGCTCTTTCGTTTTTGTAACTCAATCTTCTCACAATGATTTCATTATAGATGAATGTAAGTTTTGAGATTCCCTATAGTCTCAATTCGCACGTTATGCCTCAATGTCGGGTCTTTTTAATGACATGTTGTGGATTTTTCCTTATCTTTTTTAAAAAAATCTTAGAATGAAAATTTTGATTAAAAAAAAATCATGCAAATGTTCTAGAAAATATAAAACATAAGTAAACTATTTAAAGAAATTAGATTTATGAAAGAATTTTTTTTTAGTGTTTAGAGATTGTCACCTAACACTGCCATTGCCAGGTCCTATGTCCTAGATAAGACAAGTGGAGGGTCGTAATAGGCACCCTAAATATCTAACACACGTTAAGACTTAATTCCGCCAATAGTTCTCATTATATGTTTTACCTAGTACATTAGAATCCCTAGTACTAGACACAAAAGGATTCTTCCTCCATAGCTTAAATCGCAGGTGTGCTATAGTATTAGCATCCCTAATAGAATTTAAAGGCGCAGAATAGTATATAACCAACCCACCCTTCTGTATAACCTATTTAATGGCTGCATGCAATAACGATCACACTCTTCAAGATAGATTCGTAAAAAGTAAATCTACGCCATGGAAGTTTCATTGCTGAATGACTTTTCATAGCTGAAGTGCTACTTCACTTAGTCTTAGTAGTAGAAACTCGGAGAGACAGACATAGAGAGGACTCAATGGGCGTCGGGTCTCTCGGCCAAAACGATGAAAGGTTTTTCCGGGTTAGGTTTCCTAACCTTCAACTCGAGGTACGTAGGGATTGGGAAAGCCTTCACAAGAACATTCTGTAGTATTAGTAAGAGGAGGACGTTGGGACGGAAGCAAGAGAAAAAACCACTAATCTGCTTATTGACTTCAATTAGCAAATTTTCTTTGTTGTCGGCTTAAATCAATCAACTTTTATCTCGGGGAGATCTATTGATGAAACTCTGCTTCTTGCTCATGTCTGTCCCACCAGTCAAAGCAGCTAGCTAAGCAAGCCAATAATATCTGTCTTTGTTTTCATTAGCAACTAGGTCAAGGGTTCCGGAGCAAGAAACTATGGCACCCACTCATTTTATGAAACCAGTACGGCTTTTTTCCATATCTCAATCATATTAGTACTGTATGTCGTGTATCTTATGGTATCTTTGTATTGAAATTGTTCCAATACATTATTCTCTGTCTTATGTAGGACAAATTCTTGGCATCTTTAACTTGTAGGGATTACTGCCGATTGGAGGAGTAGGCGAGAAGCTTAGAGAAATTTTTTGATTGAACGAAGCCAAGGGGCGAACGGGAAATACTTTAGGGAACAACCAAGTACCGGAAAGAAAGAAGCTGGTATTCATAACAAGAGGCAATTCCATTTTGGAAGACGACTCACCCAGACTTTTCTATTCTGCGATCTGATCTCGTCTATTTCAAATCGTCTGAAATCTGAGTTCTCCCGAACAGTTCCTAGTCTTAGTTAGCTCTCCAAAAGTACATTGCCACTTTCAGTTTTCCAGAGTGAAAACAAACGTCGGGAGCCTAAGCTTTGTCTCAGACCCCGTTGTAGGAAAACTTCTTTGGTGGCGTGATCCTCATATAAAGAACTAAAATAGAACCAATCATCCACGTAGCATTCTACAACATCTCTATTGATGAGATGAAGCTCTTTCGTATTTGTCAGAGAAGACCGGTCTTTTTTAGCGAGTTTCTTTTCTTAGTTTCAGTTATTCTTTTTTTTTTCTATTTTTTTTTTTCATTCAATTAGTAAGGTATCCTATAAAAAAAGAGTTCCTTTCCTGGACCCTTAGTAAGGTCATGAAAGATTTCAACTTAATTCTAGCTATAGGCTTATTAGGCCTGTAGTAATCAAAACGGTGATCACATAAGTGATAACAAAAGAGTTAATGAATATGCCTTATTCCTGCGGTTGGATGCTTTCAAACTGGACAATTGGTGATAAAACTTGTCGAATAATTATGACATGAATCCTTTAATACATTATGTTAATGCTTGGGTGTTCTCTGGAAGCGACGCGCTGTATGACTTGAATATAGTGAGAATTGTGCAACGGCCTTTGCATTGACGCCCATATTCAATTTTAAATAGGAAAGGGTTCCCGCATCATGGATGGATGTGGGCAAAGAAGCTAGTTTATGAAACTAAATTAGTTATGATTGTGGAATGTAGGTTCCCTTACAGACAAATTAATTAAATTAATTGATATTATGGATAATATGAAGATAAATATTCTATACATTTAAGAAACTAAATGGGTGGGAGAGAAGGTTAAGGAGATTGATAATTTAGGGTTTAAACTTTAGTATTATGGTAGGAGTCAACTAGAAATGATATAGGTGTAATTATAGATAACAGTTTGAAAGATAATATTGTAAAAATTGATAGATTATAGCTTTGAAGATTATTGTTGATAATAAGATTATTAATATTATAAATGCTTATGCTCCTCAACAAGGTTTGGATATGTGCTCAAAAAAAATTTTTGGAATGACTTAGAATAATTAATACAAAATATATATCTTGAAGAAAAAGTTTTTATTGGGAGAGATTTAAATAAACATGTTTGTAGAGAGGTAGAAGATTTTAAAAGCATTCATGGTGGCTATGGATTTGGAGCGATTAATAAAGGTGATAAGACTATATTAGATTTTGCTATAGCTTATGATTTTGTTATTGCTAATACCTTATTTAAGGAAAGAGATGAGAATCTCATCACTTATAAGAATGGATATAATAAAATTCAGATTGATTATTTTCTTGTAAGAAAAATAGATCGTTTAGATTACAAAAATTGCAAATTTATTATGAGGGAAAGCCTATATATCTAACACTGTTTATTAGTTTTGGACTTTAAGATGAAGTGATTGTGAATGAAAAATATAGTATATCGTTGTTATAGGATTAGATGTTGGCATTTAAAGAATTCTAACAAAAATATTTTTGATTCACAATTTTAAGATTTTGTAGGTTCATGAGAAAGTTAATATTATATGGGAAATAGTAGCTTGTAATATTAAGAATGTTGTAATGATATGCTTGAAGTATCAAAAAGAAAAGTTTTTAATAGTAAAAGTAGTTGGTGGTTGAATCAAATGTGCAATAAAAGATAAAAAAGAAGAATCTCTGTTATAAAAATTGGGTTAGATGTAAGAATTTTAAAAATTGGGAAATATATAAAGTTGTCCGTAAGGAGTTTAAGAAAGCATTCTGCGATGCAAAGAGTTTAGCTTTTAATGATTTATATAATATATTAGATACTAAAGAGGGTGAAAGATATATGTATAAGCTAGTCAAATAAAGAGATAGGAGTAGTAAAGATTTAGTTCAAGTTAAGTGCATTAAGGATGAAGATAAAAAAAAAATTTTAGAAGAGGATATTTAATAAAGATGGATGAGATACAAAATAAGCATATACATGAATGGTTGGAGTAGCTCTAGTGACAGATAAGATTATAGAGAGTCATCTCAGATGGTTTGGTCACATAAAACGATGGCCTTTCGATGACCCAGTTAGGAGAGTAGATGTATTAGTCTATTAGATTTAACCTATGTTAAAAAAGGTAGAGGTAGATCTAAAAAGACTTGGTTAGAAAATATTAGATGGTTTGTGTGCTTCATTGCATTTTTTCTTCAAGATGCATTGAGGCGCATCTTATGTTATGCAATTTTAAATAGCGGCCATCAATCATAATAATTGGTTGAATATATATTGTGGTAAGTGATTGAAATAATTATTAGTTATTAATCCTATTAGAAGATGCACAAGAATTTAAAACGCAAAATTATCATAATGAGTAGTTGTTTTTGAGCTAGAGGTGAAAATAAAATGAGATTGAAATGGTCAATTGTAAAAAGGTGGTCATAGTTTTCTTAGGAAATAGTAACTGAATCTAAAGGAGCATTAGTGGAGTTGATTGGAATGAGGCTAGTGTTTGAGCATGGTGAGCAATTGGAGGGTTGCTATATTTTTCCTTGAAAGATTAGAAGAGTTATGTTTTTATGACAATATTAACAGAGAGAAAGAGTTATAATATCCTATGCCAATAGCAGTATTATCACGATGGTTAGTAAGTTGTGTAAGTAACTTAGCAATTTGAAAAGATTGGGAGAGAGAGCAGTGGAGATATTCAAGGCAATGGAGTTACCTCCATTCCCCACATCATTCTCTCACTGTTCTGCACACTCCAAGAAACATAGCAAGATAACTAGGCTGCAATCCAAGCAATGAACTTTCATATTTTATGTAAATATTTTGATTTTAACATATAATATAGTAAAAAAAGGAGTCTGTTCATCTAAGATACTTTATATTGCTTCAGATTATGACCGAATAATGAAGAATATTGAAAGAGGAGAGGCAAGGATCTTAAGAAAAGACGAGATAATGAAAGCGATTGGGAAAAAACTGGATCGATATAAGAACCCATGGCTGGAGTTGAAGATTCAATATGGTCAGAACAAAGGGAAGTTGTACAATGAAGAATGTGATCGCTTCATGGTGTGTTTTAAGGATACTCAACAACCTTATTTCTCACTTGTCAGTGTTTTTAAGATAATACTAAATTCTGTGATGATATCCTATTTTTTTAGTTATGCATGGTACATAAGCTTGGTTATGGGAATTGGGATGAGCTGAAGATGGCGTTCCGAATGTCTCCTTTATTTCGTTTTGATTGGTTTGTTAAATCTCGCACAACTCAAGAATTAGCGAGGCGCTGCGATACGCTTATTCGGTTGGTTGAGAAAGAAAATCAAGAACTTGACGAGCGTGAGAGGCAAGCCAGGAAGGATAAAAAATATGCAAAGGTAAGCTTTCCCTTTCCTTTTTTAGGTTTGTATTATCTTTAACAAAATTGTGTTTTGCATGAACAAAGGTGCTTATCTGCATTTTCTTACCTTATTTTTTTTATGTCGAACAGAATATGACGCCTTCAAAGCGATCTGCAGCAAAAGCACCTGCTTTGGAGACTCCTGCACTCACTTCTTTTAAGAGACGAAAGCAGTCTATCATAAATGATTATGTAGGATCGGTGAGTTAGTTAACATCTCAGGCTTTATTTAGGACGGTTTTCTTACTGCTTTCAAAAATAACTTTTTAGTATAAAAATTTCTTTAAAAAAAAAAATTGTACTAAAAAACTGCTTAAAAAAGCAATAAGAAAATCGTTCCAAACGAAACCTTAGTTTTTAGCTGGGACGACTCTTTTAATCCTCAAAATATAACTGAAAAAAAAAATTTACTTCATTGATGATACTTGCTAACTTTGATGATGTGTTTGTCTCAGGGGAGGAGGAGGTGAATTTTTTGAGAAATGCTTCGGTAGCTGTAGTGCTCATGGGAACAGCTATATATTATGTACTGCTTTTTCATAACTAAGTAGACTTCCTGTAGAATCTTAAAATAGTGGCATTGAGCTGATTGTTTAGGATGAGGGAAAGAGATCAAAATGGTAATTTACATTATTTTTATGGGGTTATTCTACTTCTATATTATCAATATATCTTATTTACTTTCTTCCCCTTTTAAGCATGAAATACATATGTGATGGACATAATAGCCTTTTTTTTTTTAAATCAATTTTTTAGTTAAAAAAAAATTTGTATTAAAATATTATTTTAGAAAATAATAAAAAAGTTATTGTCCTATATATTAGTTCTATCAAAATATGAAGGTACCATTTCAAAATGGTCCAATGTCTTTGGCAAGAGCTGAAAACCTCGTACGATCATAATTTGTTCTTCTCCCTCAACATATTCACTTATAGCTTCACATTCATCTCTCATCTATTACATATGCAAATGGAGGATAAATCTACTTATAACTCTACATTCATTTCTCATCTATCATAAGGGAAAATGGAGGATAATAGTTTCACATTTATTTTTCATCATCGGGCAAAAGATACACGAAAGTTAACATGTGTTAGATTTTTGTTAAAAGTTGTAACATAAAACACAGGCTTACCTTTGGACAATTTTCGTTATCATTCTATTGTAATTTTTTTGAATTAAAATTTTTGTACTTAAAAATTTATTTTGAAAGAAATAAAAAATGTTTCCTACCCCCACCCCCC